TAAAACAGCATGGGGTTTGCACTCAACCTATGCACATCGTCCTGTACACTTTAAATCATCTCTACGTTACTTATACTACCAAATACAATGCACTGTTTTGTAAATAGTTGTTGTACTGTATTGCTCAAGGCATAATGGCAAGAAAAAAGCACATGTTCATTACAGATGCATTTTTTTCTCGAATGTTTTCAGCTCTTGCTTGGCTGAGCCAAGAACCCACTATATCCAGGGCCCATGTGAAGTGTTATCTGGTATGTTTTATTAAGCTGGCTCCAACCCAGCCCCTACTTTACCTAGTTTTCTACGCAATATGTATCTTTCACAAGTCTCTTTGGGAAAAATATTTATCATGAAAGAATAAATCAAAGTTGGGAAGGGAAACTCTCAGACCAAGAGGCTTAAGAGAGTTCTCACTCATTTGCAATGTGTTAACCTTATTTGGATTCCATTTCAAACAAGCAGACGGTAAGTAACAACAACCGAAACTCCAAAACTTATAAAGCTTATGAGACAGCTGGACACTTGAACAGTTAATGAACATTGGGTTGTAGGACAGAAATCATTGGGTAATTATTTTAACTGTCATGACAGTATCATAGTTGTGTTTCCAAGAGTCCTTACCTTTCAGAGAAAGAGTGAAATATTTGCAGATAAAATGACATGCTTGAGGAGCTAACTGGTGAGGGTGTAGATGATGCATTTTTGACCATGAATTGACAGTGATCAGAACAGAATGATGAGTATCTGGGGGTTAGTGGTATCATTTGGTCCATTTCTGTGTTCATAGGTTCCATAATAAAAAAGTGTAAAAATCCTAAAAGGCTCATGTGGTGGGTGGGGGCTCAACCAAGTGAGGTGTCTTTGCCAGGGTGCAGGGAAGGGCTGCTTTTCATAGCTGCATAATTGCTGGGGGTAAATATGGAAGTTCATCAATCAGAAAGGCTCTGGCAAGGGGCAGTCTGGCAGTGGGCCCAGCTCTGTGGAGCTGCCGTCCCGCCCTGAGGCCCATTTGCCCTCTATAAATAACCGTCTATATGAATGCTTTACTATTTTAATGCGCATTCGCTGCAGCTGCTGAACATGTTTGTTTACGTAGCTACGAAACCTTCTGTAAACATCACTATCTCAAAATTGCCCATGTGTCAGGAGCAGGCCCCCTGTAAAAATATATTTGCAGATGAGACTTGGCCAGCTCCTGGATGCCTTGTTGGCGGGTGTCAGAATTTTCCAGGGTTTGATTCATTTTCAAAAATAGAATCACATGACGGGAAGGTTCTTGGGAGGTCACTACAAACATCCCTCTGACTTTAAGCAGGGCTGGGATGAAGCCACTCCTAGGATATGGTGTGTCCTAGAAAGGTGTCCATCTGTCTTTTACCAGATCCCTTCAGGCAAGAGGGTGGGCAAGGGTCGGCTCCTGCCTTGAAGGGGCTCACTTATCTTACTGTGAGATGCTGCTGGAACCCACAGAGCACCCACCCACTGGTAGTGCACCTCACCCTACTGTAGGAAAGCCTGGGTCTCCGGGAGGCACCAAGTCGAGGTCCCTTTGTGCCCACATGGTGCAGGTATGGAGCCCAGGGCGCAGCAGAGACTTGTCGTGGAAGAGGCCCCTGGTCTAGAGCACCCCACAAGCCACTTAAGGTCAATGGAGACATTTGGGGAAGAAATAACCAGCATGGCAGAAGCCGTGTCATTGTCAGCTGTGGCTCTCATGTCTCTGACTTGCAGTCCAGCACCTTGCAAGGATTACATCTAGGTGAATTTGCTTTCCTCCAGGGAGCCTTTGGTCTCTATTACTTTTCCTCCAGTTTTGATACATTGAAGTTTATTTTTTCCACCCTACGAGCCTATTTAAGGCTCATAAATCCCAGCTGTGGTTTTCATTCACAAAGAAAAGGAATCTCTGCTAGAGGTTCTAAACAACAGGAATCTCAGGAGGAAGAGCAGAGACACAGCCTGCCTCAGACATCCCAGGGAACTAGAAAACTCTCTCTCTCTCTCTCTCTCTCTCTCTCTCTCTCTCTCTCTCTCTCTCTCTCCAGTGGGGCTGGCAAGATAGCACAGCAGGATCTGGAATTCGATTCCTGGCATCACACGCTGTATTGGCCCTGCCCCCAGGTGTGCTGAGCTGGTCACTGAGATTGGGAATGGTAACACACGCCTGTAATCCCAGCGCTGGGGAGGCTGAAAACAGGAGGATCACTATGAGTCTGAGTTGTGTAGGAAGACATTGCACCAAATACATGAAAAAGAAAAAGAAAATTAATAGTGGTTGCCTATTCAACAGACCAGGGTCAGCATTCGGATGCTGACAATAGACCAGTTTTCTCTAAAAAAGCAGAGGAAAGGTCAGCGAATGCTTGGAGGCAAAGATCCCCGTACATTACCAAGGCAACACTGGTTCTCACTTTGCATAGTCTAATTCATTCCACACTGTCATCCGGGAAACAGCCACTCCAGGGAGAATCCCGGCTGGGGCATCCCGAAGATGACCGCTAACTCCAGATACACTGATCTCTGGAGACAGGGCTTTGGCTTGAGGGAGCCCAGCAAGCTCTGGGCGTGTGAGTCGAAGCGGACACCCCTCCCAAGCCTGCTCCTCCAGGTTCTTCCTGAGCTCAGGCACAGGGACAAGATCTGCACACTGGCCTCCTTGTTTTATGGGAGTTCGCACAGGGAGGGTCTGATTTGAGAGCCTCCTGGGGAGCTGTCGGGGAACACCGCGAAGGCTGCATCTCCACGGACACCACTAGGGGGACCCAGAGTCCCTGTGCTCAATCCAGGCTGGAGAAGTGTCCGGGGCTGTAAGCACGTGACAGGCTCCCTGGAGAAGGGATGCCTCCCTCTCCTTCTTCGCTACACAACTGTACCCCAAGATCAAGGTCCAGGTCATGCTGTTAACACCAGCGGTACTTAGTATTTTACATTAGATAGGGTTTAAAATGCAGAAAGAAGTGTTTTTAAAATGGGGGGCTAAGTCGTGGTCTTATTCGATGGCACAGAAGGGATCTAGAGCTCTCTGTCAATTTCCTTACATGGTTTTATACCCCAAGCACATACCACAGTGCTAGGTCTCTGTGGATGTGACATAAGCATTCACTGACCCCTCAGTAGCCACAGAGGTGGGGTCCACATTCCCTGACACGCCCAAGTCTGAGATGCCCAAGTCCCTTGTACCAAATGGCTCAGTATGTGCCTGGCATCGATGCATCCCCTCCCCTAGATTTTAGGTTATCTGTTAGATAGTCCCTAATACCATGCAAATATCATGTAGATAGTTGTGCTGTATTGTTTAAGAAATAGTGACCTGAAAAACAGCCAGCAAAATTCAATGCTGAGATGTTTAAGAAATGTCTCCGATCTGTGGTGGGGGGTTAGCTTGAGGGAGCACAGAAAGCCCCGGATTTATGAATCGAAGCTGACACCTTGCCAGAACCTGCTCCTCCAGATTCCTCCTGAGCTCAGGCTCAGGGATGAGATTTGCACAGAGCCTTCCTGTCCTATGGGGGTCCTTACAGGGAGGGTCTGACTTAAAAGTCACATGGTGAGTGGTTGGTAGCTCCCCCCTTGTGGTGGGTTGAACCTGTGGATGTGGAATCCATGGTGCCCTTGCAAGGATCCCGAGGGTTGACTGTGTGTTGTGATTATTTAAGGCCAGATTTGGTCCAAATTGCTTTTGTTCTGTGCAGGGGAAAGCGATCCTATTGCTGAGCTCCTTACAATCCTTTACTCCCATTTTCCAGGGCTTGCTGCATTTAAAAACCTTATTGCAAAAATGTACAGTGTCACAAGAGACATTTGGCAGAGGCTGTGGCTTTGCCTCTTACTGCAGAGAGACAGGAACATGAGACCTAGATCTCTCCTTTGAAAGGCACAGCCGAGGTTGGGCTGCTAGGGACAGGTCAATGCAGACACTGGGTTAGCCTTGTGAACATGGATTCTCGGATGCTGAAAGCCAACCAGAATGGAGGTTGAAGTCTTAAAAACTTGGGACAGGTTGTATACAAGAGAGATGTCTAGTGATACCTCAGAAGACCAGTAAAGGCTTAAATGAACTCGAGCTCTTTTTATACTCTTCCTGGAAGGTGTTCCTGTTAGCTTGAGTCAAGTTTATGGCTCTGTTTTGTGGGTCTCATAGACATTTTTTGCTGCTGGGATGTGGAACAAGTGTAAAGTTCAGATATGAGTGAAGACTGCAACACAAACAAACTGTGTTCTCTGTGCTGAGAACAGATCCACACCCTTCCAGCCCACCCACAAAGTGCCATGAGTGACAGAAGGGTCACTCATGGGCCTGTAATATGTCTTTTCTGCTGAAGTTGTTTGGTTTTATTTGTTTTGAGCCAGGGTCTCACTATGTGGTACAGGCTGGCCTTGAGCTCACTACGTAGCCCAGGTTGGCCTCAAACTTGTGGCTATGTTCCTGGCTCTGCCTCCTAAGTGCTGGGATTCTAGGAGTGGGGTACAATGCCTGGATAGATTTTTTTTTAATTGGATCTGCAATATAGTATCTATAGGGATTCTGCAAACAAGAGGGTAGAGAGGCTGGGGCACCCAGAATAAAGAGGAACTAATGCTATATGTCTTATAAATGGCTCTCAGAGAAAGGTCAGAACTACATTTTTATTAAAAGCAGTTTGTTAGGCTATTTTGGTAGACTTCTTTATCTTGGCTTAGTAATGGACAACCACAAGTTTTTAAAACAGTAGTGTTTTAAAGACATTTAGCAAGTACTTTAAGGATGGATCAAATTTTAATGTAAGCAAAATTTGGAAATTTAAAATATGTAAGGTGCTCTTTTTTACTATGCATTCATTCATTTTCTAAGGGTATCTTATAAGCTTAATGGCTAGACCTCTTGGTAAATATATAAGACACACAGACATACCATTTCATGAAGAGGAACCGCACCCATATTCTGAATCATGTAGTAAGAACATCCAATGCTTTAAAATGAGCATTTCACCACAGATACCCCAGGACAGACCCGGTCTTACCTGTAGCTTCCACCATTCCTTCCAAGATGACCACAATTTCCAGTTCCTCTTTAGGCAGCTGGGCTTTGGAGATCTCCCAGAAAGGACTCTGTTGGTTAATTTCATGGCTAATGATCAGTGGTGACACCAGAAACAGACGGTCATCCCCTGTGTAGTATCCTACATTGATGTCCGTCTGGTTCAGAGGGATGAACTCCCCTTCTGAAGTCTGTTTGGATTTGATCAGCTTGGCTCTGATGGAGGCCTCCACGATGTGGGAATTCCTCAGGTCCCCCACCCGGAACATGAGGCACAGTTTCCCATCCCGCATAGAGATCACTGCATGCGTGGAAAAGACCAGGGTCTCTGCCCTTTTCTTGGGTTGTGATATTTTTACAAACATACATCCCACCATGAATGCATTGACAATGGATCCCAGAACAGACTGGATTAAGAGGAGAATAATTCCCTCTGGGCACTTATCTGTGATGACCCGGTAGCCATAACCAATGGTGGTTTCTGTCTCTATGGAAAATAAAAAAGCAGAGACAAACCCGTTGAGGTTGGTGACACAGGGAGTCCATGAGGAGTCCTCTATGTGGTCCATGTCTCCTCGGATGTAGGCAATTAGCCACCAGATCATTCCGAAAAAGAGCCATGTCACTGTGTAAACCATGACAAAGATGAGCAGATTGAACCTCCACTTGAGGTCTACCAAGGTGGTAAAGATGTCTGTAAGGTAGCGGTAGGTCTCCCGCACGTTGCCATGGTGCACGTTGCATTTGCCATCTTTCCTCACGTACCTCTGGATTTTCCTTTTGGTCCGGTCCCGGCTGATGTGTCTTGGCAGGTCATCCCTGGCCTGCTTAGGCAACTTTGGCTGGTGAATGGCCACGGGACTCTCCACATCCTGATCCATGGAGTCACCCTCCAGGACATTAGCTGGTGGTTTGGAGAAAAGAAAAGAAAAACAGGATGAAATGTCTGCCTCTCCTCTGAGATGCTATGGCATAGGAGAGGCAACAAGCTTCTCAGAGAAGACCTTCTGGGATGCCACTGGGCTTGGTTGTCCCACTGAGAAAGAATGGACTGTGAACTAAACTGTATCCTTCACACACAGTTCCCAACACAGTTTCTGTGTTGGGAACAACAGAAGCATAAATGGCAGTGAAACTAAATACCTTGTATGTAGCTATGAACAGGGTGAACAAAGCCATACTCATTGGATGCCATCTGGATGGGCCTCTGGTCAGCTCGCAGGATTGTGCATCATGACCTAACTTGTGCAAGTCCTGCCGGACCCAGCCCAGGAGGATGGAGTTGCCACTGCGAGAATCTCTCCCTGGCAACAGCTCCCACTGAGCCAGCTCTGATGGCCAGATGTCTTCCTCATCCCCCTCCCCGAGATGCAGTGGCATAGGAGAGGCAACGAGCTCCTCCAAGAAGACCTTCTGGGGTGCCAATGGGCTTGGCTGTCCCACTTAGAAAGAGTGGACTGTGAACTAAACTGTGTCCTTCACACACAGGTGGAGGCTCAAACTCCAATGACCGTATTTGGAGATGGAGACTTTTAGGATGATAACTACAGGTTGAAAAAGTGGACCCTAATGTCAAAGGTTGTGTGTCCTTAGAAGAGGAGGAGGGGACATCGGGGTGGACCTATGGAAAGAGGAGCTCCTGCACGACTCAGTGAGAAGGCAGCCAGGTACAACCCAAGCAGGAAGGCTGGAAACCAAGCCTCTTGGACTTCAGCCTCCAGAGCAGAACTAAAAAATAAGTGTCTGTTGTTTAAACCACCCAGTGTGTAGAAGTCAATTATCAAATGCCCATGAACCCAACTCATAAGATTGTTATGAGGTTAAACAAAAACCACATATGTGACATGTACTTGCAGAAGCAAGCATGTAGTAAATACCATTGGTAATATGCTGTTTCCTTATTACTTTCATTTTTAGGGTAAGAATTTTGCATAAGCTTTTTACATTATTGTCAGGCTTAAACATTGTTTAATTTTTGTTAGAAAATATGCATGCATTGTATTCTAAAACTTGATTCAATGCTAAGGTTAAAAATGGGTAAAGAAATGAAGAAATGTATCTTCTCTTGCTGTATGTTCACACATTTGATTTGGCTTCTGCCCTAATGTTTAGTGCCTGCAGTTTGGTGCATGGTTACTTTCTTTCTGATGGTCATCCAGACCAATGCTGCACCATAATTGTCAGCTAATGGTGCATTAAGAGAGCTCTCAGAATCTGGGTGCAAAGGGAATTTGGGGGCTGATTCTGCTATTAAATGGGTATAAACCACTGTATGAAATTACTTGTTTAGCCAATAATTTTAGGACTTCTAAACATTTTATAAGCACTTTTCCCCTCCATGCTCTCATTCGGGGTCCTTTGCCTGTGTTTGCGGTACTCTGCTATAAGTATATTTCTTCTTGGTTAAAGGAGAAAAGAAGTCTGGTGAGAAGGCAGTTTTTACAAGATGAAAACAGTGGCCACGGGTGGGACTAGACCAGTATCAAGTCACCTTGTGAATCAATTACATAGATCTATTTTTGTGTTTCAGCCCAAGGGACAGAAGGCATCTGGGCTTCAGGGTCTGTGGTGTGGTTTAACTTTGATGTTTACATCATCACTGTCAGCAGCCTACATTAGTAAGTGGACAAATCCATGGAAGAGACACCCAGGCAGAAGGAGAAGAGAGCAGAGGTGCGCTGGAGGCAGCTGGGTGTGCAGATGGCGGGTCCTGTCCCTGCCCACTGCCAGCACCACTTCGTGGAGGGGTATTTTGATCCTGCACAGCCATGCCCAAGCTCTCACTCCTAATTCTGCCCTAAATGATCTCTAAACAGGTGTCCTCATGTGGTGACCACTGGGGCTCAGCTCCGTGAGGTGGGAGAGGCCTCCTCTGCAGAACTCGAGGTGCTCTACAGGCCAGGGCCATACCTGGCCTTCTCTAGCCTGAGAGTGAAAAGTCACTCTGATTTCTTGCTCTCTGATTCTTTAAGTGAAGAAGAATGCTTGTTAGATTAACTGCTTAACAGTCATCACTGATATTTCCTGTTTTAAAAGTGTTAGGGCAGAATTCTTGTCTCTGTCTTCATTCTACCCCTATAGTAAAGCTGTTTTCTCTCATTTTCTGGCTCCACTGCAAACTTCAAGCTGCAGGCATCTGTTTGAACTGGAGGAACCTGTTTAAATGGCTAAGGAATGAGTGGTGATCAAACGCTGAGCAGCCTGGGGTGCTGTCTGCAGGTGCCCCAGTCTCATTCTTCCTGTGTGTGGGGGCCACACCTCATCATCTCTTCTTCAGCATACAGGGTGGCCACCTGACTGACTCCTGGCCTATCTGGAGTGGGACATGCCTTTCTTCGCCAAGGTCCAAAACCCTGGCTGTTTCCTTCTTTGTTCCCTGCCCTGAGGGATGCTGGGATTACGAGGTGAGGAACCTGGTTCTGAGTCAAAGCTGGAGCTACATCTGTCTAGAAGCCAGGGCTGGCTGAAGAGGGCCAAGTAGAGACTTGCAAGAGAGCACAGAAGAGGAGGAAATGGCAGAGAAGAGGCTGATGTTGGAGATGGGCAGTGTCAGCCAGGAAGGGGAGGGCTGGGTGTGTGGCCACATTAGTGGGGAGCACGGTGCCTCCTGACTGTGTGGAGTCTCAGTGGGACCACTGGGAAAGGAGAAAGGGCCCTGCCAGGCCCCAGCCTGGAGTGATGACTCTGCTGCCCAACTGACCACATGTAGAAATGTGCAAGGCATCGGCAAGGGGGTGCTAATGATAGCTGCCAGCAGTTCTGGCTTTCTTGGAGCCCAAGTGTGGGCTGGAGCAGGATCTGAATCACATGTCAAGGAGCACCCTGAGCTGTGCCTTGGCTGGCTGCAGCTGGAATGGGAAGGCAGGCATTTCCCTAAGCAGCTCTGAGCACTGGGACCTGTAGAGTAAAGCTGTTTTGTTTTGTTTTGTTTTGTTTTGAGAATGGGTCTTGCTGTGTAGTTTAGACTGGCCTAAAACTCACTTTGTAGCCAATGCTGGCCTTGAACTCCCGTGATCCTCCTGCCTCAGCCTACCTAGTGCTGGGATTACAGCACTGTGCCTAGCAAACTGAGGACACCTTCTTACTGCCCTCCCCCAAAAGACCATGCTGGACCCTCAGCTGCCCAGTGCAGTGTACATGTGGCTGCATGACACCTTCAGCATCCTGCAGGAAGCTTGAGGACAGAAAGCAGAGGTGTGGACATGCCCTGCTAACAGGAAGCGCTGGGTGGATGTGCAAAGGGGTGAGAGGAGAGAGCCCAGAGTGTGTGAGGCTGATTTGACTTGAGGGTTGCTTCTCTGGATTTTGGTTCAGTGTGCATGCTGCCCTGTGAAGAGGGCTGAGACTTTGAATTTCTCTCTCTCTCTCTCTCTCTCTCTCTCTCTCTCTCTCTCTCTCTCTCTCTCTCTGGCTTTTTTCTTTCCTTTTGATCTCTGTCTTGCTCTGTTAGGAAGCTGATGAGTTTAGACAGAAGAAGCTAAGGTATGAGACACCCTAGTGTTGAAATCTGACCTGTAAGAAGGAACAATGACACAGCCCCGGGCTGCACGGCGCCTGGTTTCCCAGATCAGCGGAAGGAGGTCGCTGTCACCTTTGAGGTGCGTTCTTGCTGCAAGGAGGGCGCCTCAGAACCCTGGTGTGTGTGGAGGTCTCCTGGGTGAAAGCTCAGCGTTTCAACTTGTGTACAGATTCTGCAGGAGAAACACCCAGAAGCCAAGAAAGACTCAGATAACACTTTCAGATGTTTTAGTGTCAAGTGGAAGAAATGAAATAAGTGGGCCAGATCTTAAAGGTACGCAAAAATCCATGCTTGGAAGGAAGAGGACCCAGATGTGAGCGGGCAGTGCTGAACAGGAGGGGGCTGGCATGCTTTCAACTGTTGTGCTAAACACCCTTATTTCCCCAAATTTCCTGGAATGATTTATGATTAGTCCATAATCAGAAGAAGGAGGAGGAGGGGAAAGAAGAGAAAAAATAAACAGGAATTTTCAAACAACACACTGAGATACCTTCCTGATGTCTGATTTTAAAATTTCATCACACCAGGAGCTAAGTAAAGTACTTGATCTGAAGGCATCACATCCCGTAGGCCTGGTAATTTAGAAACAGACACTCGCTTGACCTGAGTCCAGGAAAATCATTAATAGACTCTGCAGGGTCCTTGTCTAGAGAGTTAGCAAGGAGAAGTGGAGATGCACACATCTGTGGCCACTGAGGGCAGGGCCTGCAGGACACAGCGAGTCACCATCCCCGTGATGGGCTGATGGGACCTGGAAATGAGGTGGCCAGGGAGCCAGGAGTTCTCAAGGGGCTGGCACAGAGACCTACAAGAAGGGGACAGATGTGACCTTCCTGTTACATTAGTTCAATCTCAGTGGTCCTGACAGAGCCCTTAGGCACCCTTAAGACTCAAAGCATGGCTTTTCCCTCACCAAAGATGAGCCATGCATGGGAAGAAACCCACAGAATGGGACATGATATTTTCTAATCATATATATGATGTGGGATTTAATAGCCAGCATATGTAAAGAACTTCTGCAAATCAACAAAACACAACCTATGCAGAATTGGGCAAAGAACTAAATAGATATTTCTCCAAAGAAACTGCACAAATGGCTAACAAGCCCATCCATGGGAAGATGTTCTACATCCCTCACCATTAGTAAAATGCAAACCAAAGACTATAAGGAGAAAATAATTCATACCCAAAGGGATGGCTAATATGAAAAGAAAACCAAAAAAATCCCCAGCTGTTGGTGAGATGGGAAATTGGAACACTGGCACTTTGCTGGTAAGAATATAAAAGTGGTCCAGCCACTGAGGAAGATGGTATATTGGTTCCCTAAGAAGTTAGAGTCATTACTGCTAGGTGTACCCCCTACATAACGGAAAGCAGAGCCTGAA